TGACACTGGAGAGGCTGGACAAGATAAAGATAAAGCCTCCAGTGATGTTGTCGTGAAGGATCCTGAACCGGCGAGTGCAGAAAAAGACGAGGAGGGAAAGAAGGAGGAAGACAAGAAAGGTGGACGGGTGGAAGAGGTCAAGAGTTGTGAGACTGGGATAGATGAAGAGGAGATAAAGGACAAAAACAAAGAGAAAGAGAAGAGTAAAACAAAGGAAAAGGCAAAAGAAACAGAAAAACATGTGAATGAAAATGGAGAAAAAGGGGCAGAGAAGAAAACACAAGTCAAGGAAGTGGATGTAGAGACGAAAGACAAAGGAAAGATGAAGGAGGCAGAAAAGCAAGGGAAGCCCAAAAGAAAGAGTGGTCCTCCCTCTTCTCTCTCCCGACCGAGACCCTCCGCACGCTCTATCAGAGCATCCGCTAGAAACGACATAATCGCCAAGTTCCAACAAGGTGCACCAGAGTAAGTCATTGTGTGATACCCAGTAATTCTAACAGGCTTAAAGAGTGACAGTAAAATAAGATCTGTTAAAGGAAACAGTGCAATGTTGTGACATTTTCAGGACACCAATACCCCGCAACTTCAAGATTCAGAAGTCGTCTACGGCTATGGCTACAGGAGCTTCGATCAAACAGAAGATGCTTCAGTGGTGTCGCACCAAGACTCGCAACTATGAGGTCATTTTTACATCCGATGCCCCCAATTTTCAGATTTGTTGTTGTGGTTTTGGGACCAGACGACTTACAAAATAATAGTGTGCTTTGCTCTGTTTGACTTTTCAGTTAAAATCTTCCTGTCCTTTGACCTTTTAGGGCGTCAACATAGAAAACTTCTCATCGTCTTGGTCTGATGGGCTGGCGTTCTGTGCTCTGATCCATCGTTTCTTTCCCGATGCTTTTGACTACAGCTCCCTGAATCCAAAGGAGAGGGAGAAGAACTTCACTTTGGCCTTCCAAACTGCAGAGTATTTAATTATTTTTCTTTAATTTCTTCCCTCAGTACAGCTCACATCGGTATTGTCCAGCAAGAAGAAATTTGTTTTGCAGCAAGACTGCATAAAAACATAAATCATTAACAGAATAATACCAAGACAATTGAAGTTTGTATACTATACACTCACATACAATAAAAGGCTCCTGTGATAAAAGCAAAGAAAAACTGCAGCAATAAGAATAGGGACGATGTGTTTTTAATGTATTAGACTTAGACTTTCATTATTGGCTATAATAACTATTTTTAATACTAACAATGTATCAAATGACAATGTGAAAACAATGTGACTGGCTCACAATTTTACTGTGTTTAAAGTTCAGTCTCACTGCTCTCGTGGTGTCATTTTCAGTGAAAAAGCTCTAAAAAACCCATTGTACACAATCTGTGCAGCACCAAACAGCAGACAGGCACAGTTAGTGACGAGCTGGTGAACACAGTGGAGCATTTAGCAGCTAAAGAGCCAGATATTTCCCTAAACTTTCCCTTGAACCTCTTGCATTACAGAGAGTACATTCCCACTCTCTGTATAAGTAGTTACTATATATCACTGCTATGTTTCACTTCAGTTCTCTTTCCTCTCTCTCCCTCCCTGTCAGGTCCCTGGCTGACTGCTGCCCTCTGCTGGAAGTGGGTGACATGCTCATGATGGGCAACCACCCGGACCCCATGTGCGTGTTCACATATGTCCAGTCCCTCTGCCATGGCCTCTCCAAAATAGAGAAAGAGAGGAGGGACAAAGAAAATGAGGAGAAAAACAAGGCTGGTGATGAGGGAGGAGAGAAAGAAGATGCAGCAGGAGATGTGTCACCGGAGAAGGACGAGGGTGAGACTACTGAGAACGGGAACCAGGAGGAGAAACAAGGAGATGTTACAGAGGTTGAGGGAGCTGGTGAGGAGGAAAATGCCCCAAACAGCTGTGAGATGGAGGGAGAAGGAGGAGTGTTAGTCGAGGCAGAGTAGAAAAATACTGACAACAAACAGGAAGACTGAAAGACCAAAAATAGTGTTGATGGTTGCAGTACTACAATGAGTAAGTCTTAGTTTGGTGTTGGATTGACTACTGGAACAGTAAAGAGGCACATCAGGTTGACTCTGGACTCAAATGCTGGCAATGTGATGTTGAAAGTGTATTATGCTGTGTTGTTTTTATTTTCATTCACTACTGTGTTGTTGTATATGTTTGTTTTGAGCACATGCAGCAGAAATGAATTAAATTCCTCCCTTTGCTGTGTTTATAGAAAACTATTAATTAAATGATGGACCTGTGAAGTGTGTGTGTGAAGTTAATTGAGAGACAAAAACATCTTGGGTCTCAGCGCAAGAATTGATGGATTTATTTATGCTCAACAATAATGATGGACGGTACAAAAATATACTGCCTTTATTTAAGTATAATACAATTAAAGTATGTGAGATGTGAGAGATCTGACTTATGAGGGTAATAATTTACTGTGTCTGTGAGAGATTTTGTCTGAACGGATTTTTCTTATTTCTGAACTTATGTCAAAATGGTTAAAAAACACTAAGAGAGAGTTTGTTTGTTTTGTATTGTAATCATCAGTAGTAAAGCTGTTGTGGTTGTATGTTGTTCAAAGGTATGGTCTGAGGTCTATAAACTATTACAAAAATGATAAACTATAAACTATAATCTGACAGGTCTCTAAATATAACGACTAACACTAAAAAACAACTAAAAATGAATAGAATATTACAACTACATTAAAACCCTTTAAAGAACAGTGTCAGTCTGGTAATAAAAGTAACATGAGTTACATTTATAAACACTATTATTTATCATGATTACAACTATATCTCAGTTAGGCTATAGATCAGAATATAATTGTGCCTTTATGAATAACTACTGATGATGGTTATGGCTTAAGCAGAACAAGCATCAGTGAACCAGAAACCAGACAAATCAACCAGCACTGCGCCTGCATTCAGGGAGTTACGGTAATGAGCGTCATGCTACCGGAAAGGCCATTGTGTTGTCTCTTTTGTGAGCTAACGCACCGACTGTGTTGCGCTTTTCTCCCAACATATTTCTCAGCTGCAGCAGGGTGAAACATGTCCACAGACATGCCGCCGGGCAGCCTCAACCTGGAGTCCCAGCTTTTGTCCATCATGGACGTGCTGGTGAAAGCGGCGGTGACCGAAATCAGTCAGCTGTTCTCGGAGAGCTCGGCGTCTCTCCGTCTGCATTTAACCCAGAGCCTGAAGGAAAACGAAGCCCTGAGGATGAGGATGAAGGTGATGAGGAGTGAGGTCTTCTCCCTCAGACTGCAGACCAGGACGAACCGACCGGCCAGCCGCTTTTCCCCGATCAGAGGAAACATCCCCAAACCACGAGCCAAATCCCAAGGTAACGAGTACTTTCACTTTAAAAAATACTTCGTACTCGAGTAACAAGTAACGCTCCTTAGTTTACAGTTAAAGACACACTGTCCGACTCTAGCTCTTAAACTTAGAAACAGATTAATTGAATAATAATTTTAAAAAACCTGCTAATAAATAAAGGCGGCTCCTTGTCACGTGACATGACTTCCACAGATCGCCCTGAAGTTTATGAAATATGACTTTGATCTGATTCACTTTACATCGTCTAATAAAGTGAATTATTGAGGCTAATTGAGTATATCTCTAATTACACGTGGCTGTCAAAGTGCTCCTTTAATATATTATTATAATTATATTCTGTCTGGTGGTCCTGAAATAATTCATTTTCATTTCCTTTAGTTGTCATAAAGCCACCAGTGGCCCAAAAGACTGTCAGGGAAGCTGCTTCTGTTTCTCTACAATCAGACAACACGACCTCCTCTGCCACTCAAGTGAAGGTAAACACAGCATACTGTGCCTTGCATGTACTCAGCTTCCTATCAGGTGTGTTTGGTTTGCTCAAGCCTACCTACTTGTTAGTGTGCAGATGTGGAGAGTCCAGATGTGATCCTGATCAAAGATGAAGACGACGTTGGAGGATGTGGGCCAGCCGATGGTGAGTAGATTTGTTTTTAATCCTGTGTAATACCCAGTTATTAGTTAGTAAGCCCTCATGAGCTGATAGGAGTTCTGTTTCTTGTTCAAGAGCGCGCCAGCAGGCCCTCGTCGATTAGGTTATCCATCATCTGCTGGATCAAAAGCTGCTGACTTCCAGGTGACTAGATCTGGGGCTGGAAGGACTGGCGGTGTTCTTTGTACAGACGCAAAAGTACAACTCTCTTATGTGCTTTTGTTGTCACTGGCACAAAGCTATAAATGACATCAGGCAGCGGCTGCACAGACAGCTCTTAGTATTGTCAGTAGTACAAATACATTATTCAGTCGACCCTCTCGAGAGGTTCGCTGACATATACGTATCTGTCACAGTTGTAGACATCATCACCTAAAGGTCCAGTGTGTAACATTTAGGAGGATCTATCTATAAATGAACTATAATATTCATAGGTATGTTTTTATTGCCTCAAAATAAGAATTGTTATGTTTTTGTTACTTTAAAATTAACTGTCTATGGAGTCCGCTGTGTTTCTACAGTAGCCCAGGACAGACAGACCAAACACTGGCTCTAGATTGGGGCTTTTATTTTTGTATTAAAACACAATAAATTGAACATAAGGGTTTAGAGTCAAGCCTTGGCTGATTCAGTCCTCGAGGAAGGGCATTTTTGGTAGAAATCACTACAGCACTTGACAATCACATGTAGACTTTACAGATTTTTTGACTGATTTGACTGACACTGATCTATAATGTAATTTTATGTTTGTGTCTTTTTAGGTCAGGATGATTATGGAAACCATAATACGCAGGGTGGTGTTGACACAGGGATTCAGAATCTAGAGTCCTCCTGCCTGACAGGTAATCACGAGGAGCTGAGAATCGTGAGCGTTCACGGACGAGGGGAAGGGCCTCTGCAGGAGGCGGGCGACACCCTCTTCACCGCCTCTGAACTCCAGGCTTTCAGCTCTCTGTCCCCAGAGCATGACGTCACCCACGACAGTCTCCTGAACTTCACCACCGGTGCCACTGACAGGGCCCCGATGAGAGTGATGCAGGATAACAGTGTTGGACTGGCGAGAAATCATTCCACCCAAATGTCTTCAACAGCGCTGAAAATACCCGTAGCAGTAGCTGATGATCATGTGGGGCACCCCAGTCATGTTGGCCAGTTCCCCCAGCAGCAGAACGTCTTCCCCCACACCGTCAACAAATCCCTGGACTGCAGCTTCTGTGGCGAGCGCTTCCTCAGCCGCGAAGACCTAATTGTACACCGGGCGACTCACACCGGGGAGTCGCCCATTCCTTGTTCCTATTGCGGCAAGTCATTTGTCAACAAGACCACGCTGACCATCCACATGCGCATTCACACCGGGGAGAAGCCGTACGCTTGTATGCAGTGCGGGAAACGCTTCACGCAAAACGGCAGCCTGAAGATTCACCTGAGGACTCACTCCGGAGAGAAGCCGTACACCTGCAACCAGTGCACCGCCAGCTTCAACAACCCCAGCAACCTGCGCAGGCACATGATCACACACACCAATGGAGTGCTCTGACCAGGAAAGATACAGACGTTTTTACAGCATGTTACTTTTACTGACATTTGTGCCACAGTATGTATTTGTGTTTCTACCTTTGCCACCGCACAAGGAGCTTCTCATGGGTCAAAGTACGCCGACGTATATAATCGATGGACTGTTGTGGTTCAAAGTAAGGAAGCATGATCTCTGTTCAATGTGACGTGCGTTCTTTTTTAACTTAAAACCAGCAATTGGGAAAACAACTTTAAAAACTAAAATGCCTTTTTATTTTCTTCCCTGGCTCGAGGGACTGCTAGTGTGAATATTTTATATCCTGGCTGAAAAGCAGACAAACTTTGATGCCTCTCGTTATGCCAAAATATAATATACAGTACCTTCGCTGAAATTTGGTAAATGCTCCTGACACAACAAACTCTGCCTATTATACAACTAAAATAAATAAGTTGTCACCTTGACTTATGGGAATCTTATGTGCAGGGCGGGGAGGGGACGTGGATGGCTACATTAAAGTAAACAGCTAGGGATAGCAATAATTAAATGTATTGTGTCACAAAATTAATGTATTGTGTTATAGTAAATACTCAACAAAGAGATTTTCTATAATGTGTGAGAAACCGTTTATATGAATGTCTGGATTTGGCTAATCCAATTAATTAACTGCCTGACAACTTAAAGGTCCCCTGTGTAGGATTTAGTGGTATTTAGTGGTGTAGTTGCACATTGAAAAACTACAGTGGCCAAGATCTAGAGCCAGTGTTTGGTTTATCTGTTCTGAACTACTTTAGAAACATTTGAGCAGTTCGGCATGTCGGCCTCTGTGGAATTGACCTGCGGCGTCTGTAGATATAAACGTCTCACTATTCTTATATTCAGGTGATTATACACTAATGAAAACATAATTATACACAATATTATATTCCATTTCTAAAAATAGATCCTCCTATATGTTACACACTGGACCTTTAAGCTATTCACATTAAAGTATCACATTGATGCAACTGTCCTGTCTGATGTTTCCACAAAAGCAGTACTGACTGAACTTTACAATTTACTGAGAATTAATAAAGTTTGGTTTACTTTATATTGAGCTGCATACCTTACGGAGAGCGCGTTTTAATTTCATTTGTGTATGTGTGTGTTTCATTTAGAAAGCAAACTACCTCCAATATTATCTCTGTTGCAGCTTCCTCGTTTTGTACTTCCCTGATAGTTTCAGACTAGGCAATAATACATTTCATGTGGATTCTGTCTGTGTTTTGTAATCTGGATATGAAAATTGTGAATAAATGTGTGTTTTTTTAACAGCTTTCAATACCTGGCAAGTCTCGTATGATTTTGCACCTCTAGAGAGCAGCATTGTTTTTGTTCCCCGTGATTATTGTGACTCAGGTTTACACACACTGTAGCACTGTGAGGGGGGGGGGGACTCATACAGAAACTGGGGGAAATTCCTTGCATTGTTCCTCTTTCCATCCTGCCCACACTCAAGTATTGTTTCTTACACTTCTACTTGTTTGGCTTTGATTTCACCCTTGAACTTTAAAGCCATAAATATATTAATAGACAAGGCAAGCGGTACAAGAATTAACTGTAAAGGCTGTCAAAGAAAGAGAAAACATGCATTTAAGTGGACAACTTTACAGTCACATCAGTGCTCCCTAAATAGTTTAGCAGTCAATCATGACTCATATACTGTATGTCAAGTGATTACTCTTTACCATTAAGCTATTTACTGATAGAGGAGTAGGGGTAGGAATTTAAAAGTGTACACTTCTTCCTTCTCCCTTTTGAACATGTATGATTCAATATGATTCAATTTAATTTGTTAAGAGAAATTAACAACTGAGCTGATGCATGTAGCCTACAGGTTTGACCTGTTCTCGTTTTCTTTTCTTTTCTTTTTTTCTCTTTTCTTTTTTCTCTCATTGTATATTTCTCTTCATTTCACTTTTACTGTATCGTATTTTTAGTGTTTTTGTTGGCTTTTACATGCTCGAAATAAAATTCTCAATCAAAAACGGATCAGGGCGCATGCGCAGGATGTGATGGTCACTGCTCGTGGTTTTATATGGCAGTGGGTTTTTTTTTTTTTTTGTCGTGTTGGTGAGGAATGCTGTTACTTCCCCGAGAAATGCTGCTTCCTCTGGTGCTATTGTTCTTGGGCAATCAATGAAATGACATCAGTTTATGCGAGGGAGAGGGAGAGCGACGACACGGGAATGAATGGGAGGAGAGAGGAGGCGGTGGGAGGTCGCTTCTTTATTCTACTCCTGCAACTGAGTTTAAATCCCCCAACACCTCCCATCCTCCCATCTTTATAATCACAGGCCTTGCTCATATCAGTCTGTGTGCGTATTATCTTTATCACCAGTCCGACTACTGGCCCTTTTCCGAACAACTTACAAAACTTGTGACAAACACCTGTATGAGAAGAGGAAGGCTGCGTGCGCCGTCATTACGGTAAAGCTTGTTGATCCCGCCCTCTCTTTGATAGAAAAACTCGGTGATGTCGCTTCGTCTTTAACGAGCTTGACCCAGAACCCAGGGAAGGAGGGGAAAAGAGGGGAGAAAAACGCACACACACTCTCACAACAACAAAACAAAACAAAAAAAACCCCAAAACACGGAATAGTCTGAAAGGGGCCGGGGGCAGGCTTTCCACGAGCAGGTGAGGCAGTTTTCCTAAATGTTACCGGGTGGTTGATAGTAGCTGGGGGCCGCGGTTCCCAGCAGATACTGGGTGCACTGCAGCGTTGGCAAGGAGTGGTCACATCATCGACAGAGCAGCAACACGACTCTCCGACGCTAACCTTAAAAGTTCCGTGCCGTGCCGTGCTACAAACAGCCCTCGATATCGACGGCTGTAAACGATCGATACCGTCCGATATTGGACCCAAGTGCCGCTCAGACGGACACACGCTACCTCCAGCCGCAGCGGGGCTAATCTGTGTGCTAGGCTAACGCTAGCCGCTCTCTCGGTGTGGCTATGTGGGTTATTGTGATGCTAACGTAGCAGGACAAGCCAAACCAGGTCATGCGGGCGCTGCTGAGAGAGCTTTTTCTAACCAACTGGGGCTGAATTGATCTCCAACATGGTCATTTGTCCGGACAGTAGCGTTGACTGACCGACGAGCACCGACACCGAGAAACCCAAGAGCTCACATACACGAGTCTTTGTTCGTGAGTGACATTTTTATACACACGTCTTATTGTTACTGCCTGTGTGTTGTGGCGAATGGAGCCAGCTCTTTGCTCGTCGCTGTTGCCCCAGATTGGGGTATTAACGCGAGTAAATCAATTCATGAGGGGTTTTATTTTTTATTTTTTACTAGATCAGGGGGAAATGCTAACAGCTAGCCGCTCCAGATGGTTCAACAGGGAGGACAGACTGACTGGATGCAGGCGGGTTTACAGCACTGAAGTAGACCAGCTCTGGTTCTCCACTCGTATAACTACAATGTTAGAGCGTTAGATAATATAAGGGATGCTTTATTTTAACAAATTAAACTCTGTAATCCCAGATTTCACCGATCAAAACTACCACTCAAAAATAATCGTAGGAGAGGGAGACAGGGCATGTCTTGTATTAGTATGCCCCAACCTGGCACAGTGAGTGACCTAGACACAATATAATATAAAATAAAAAGTTATTATTAACTGTATTTGTGTTTTTGTAACTACAAGCCTACTTTTAATTCTTTAAAACAACTTTATTTTAAGTTATTTTCTCACTAATCTGGGTATGGATATATTTTACACCTGCTTTGGCTACGTTCATGTCTGTTTCCTTTGCCAATAAAGCACCTTTGAATTGTATTCAAATAAAGAAATAAAATAATTTAATTGATTAGACCCAGTTAACGCTTGTTTTTAAGCGTCTTTCTGTCGGAAGCACTTTTATCAGTTTAAGCAGTTAAGTAGATTTCATCACCTTGACGGTTGTTATTGGAGAAGCAGTCCCAGAGAGAAGAGTGGAGTTTAAAGGTAATTGGAAACCTCACTACTTGTTTGACCAGGCATTTGTACACAGAGCCTGTTTTGTGTATTTGAGTCTGTTTATAGGGTGGTGGTCTTCCAGTCGTAGTCTCTCATACGAGCTGGGATTTCAAAGTTTGTCGTCTAGTGAACCTGTTGGGTGGGTCCTGTGTGAACTTGTTTTGGTAGGAAAATGCTTGGGTGGGGTTAACTGTCAGCTAGAGTGTGAACAAGTAAACTAGCTTTTCCCTTGTAAACATTGGTTTCATGCGGGCACATATTGCAGTTAGGTAAGTGCCCCCCCCCCCGTGGGCTTTAGGACAATCTTGGTTTATGTTTATACAGTATGTGTGTAGGTATCACTGGCCCAGGGCTGTCTCTGCAGGTGCCACCACTAATAACACCTTGTGTGACCACGAACAGTCTTTCCTGACTACTTGTCTCCGTGTAATTGTTTGATTGTTGATGCATGCTCCCCAACGCCGACTGCGATTGTGTCTGCTGTCTCGAAGGTGTGCAGGTAATCCACAAAGGGTTTAACCTGTGTATGTCTATGTATGTGTGTGCGTGTTAACAACGTGCGTGTGTGTGTTAGGAGGTAAGTGGATTAGTGGGCTAAAGCTTCAATCCCATTACAAGCCACGCTCAGCTTAAACCAGCACTGGTGGCATCTCACTGATTTATCAGCAAACGGCAGTGTTACCTCGATGTGCGAGCAGATGTGCATTTTGACAGTAAATGTGTTGTTTCAGTGGCAGTTTTTGTCTGGTCATGGCAGGTGTTGGGTTTCTTTTTTAACCAGAGTTTCATTAAGTCTACAGAGGCTGTATTGTTGGTTGCATGTGCATATGATCACAGATGTCTTCTGACAGGGTTGAGTGAGTCACGCTGACTGATGGCTGCAGAATCAGATGGACTTAATGTGACTCGTGGTGTGTCAGGGCTCGCTCAGATGTTGGAGGAGTGCATGTGTGTTGTTGACCTCAAGGCACTGTGCTTGACATTTTGACCATTTGTTTGGCCGTCATGTTTGGGGTAGGCAGAACGTGACTCTTTCTGTCTGTGTGCCAGTTCCTTCCCCCTTTCAAGATGTGCACGTGTTACTGGATCAGCATATAACACAGTGGTTCAGTCCATTCTTCAGTTTCTTTGCAATTTCTGTTGTTTTGCTACTTTTTCTTTGTACTTTTTCTTTTTTTCTTGGAGTGGTCTACCCGGACACATGTTTGTCATGTTAGGGGGAAAAAATAGAATTTAATGAGATTTTTCATTTTCATTATTGATTACTGTGCAGAATATATTCTTGATTAAATGTCAGAAAAGATGGGTTTGGACAAATCTAATCCAGGGGTCCAGGATGCTAACAGCCCACCCAAGAAGGAATTCATTTTTTTTAAAGGCCTGAACAGGTAGCGTATCCTAATTAAAAATGGAGTAACTGGAGGACCCAAGTGGTAAGAGTACGGGAACAAACCCAAATTTTGTTACATAAAAAATAAATATGTGATGATTCAGCCATATACGTTCATAAAGATAGCTTCTGAAAGTTTATAAAAGCAGAACAGAGAACAGTAGATGGAGAACAATATTAGCAAAATAGGAAGTGGTTTGTGGTCCTATGATCAGCATATTGACCATAGGGGAACTCCTACCAATGGTTGGAGGAAGCCAGCCGTCAGTAGGTGGTTTATTAAAGTGTACAACCAATAGACTCTCGTGGTTTTGTGTACCAGCAGTT